ATTGGCTGAAATAGGATGTCTCAGAAAAAGTCTTATAACTCTCAAATGGAACTAGCTCGGAATGTCGACCTTGTGTATATCGAAGGAGAACAATTTTCTATATCGATTATATGTATTAAAAGTCTAAATCAAAAGGAAAATAGCTTCAAAATATCGTTTTCGAAAATCTTTATCAAGAACTTACTTGTCTATTCAATTGCTGATCAATCAAAATTCAATAAACTTTGATGGACTTCGCTTTTTTCTCTTGAATGGTGGAATCGGTAGGCCTCTAAGACATTCTTATCAGAAGCTATTCAAAAACCAGTGAAACACATTGTATTTCTAAATGGATAGTAGAGGAATGCGAAAATTGATCGTCGGATGTAGAGGGATGTAAGAAGACTCACACTTCACCCACTCTTTCTTTTTACTTTTTCTGCCGCTGAAAAGTAAATATCCTGGAAAATGGTCGATGTCCACTTTACTTTTACATACGACTGATTGTCACATCAATCAATTTTTATTCGACTGATTTTTGTAGACCCCGATAGTAGTTAACAACTTTAAGCTTTCTTATAGATACACAAATAATCTATTTTATCTTCATATAAATATTAATTTAAAAATCAAAAAGACATACGCTGAAGGAATTGTTGGTCCAACATCAAAATAAATTTTAACAAAAGCTTGTGTAATTGCTTCACATATTGATTTATCAACAGACCAAATAAGACTAAACATTAAGCGTAAACTTTGTTCAATATTTGGCAAAACAAGACGATAATGACGAAGATTAACAAAAAAATCGACTGCTTGTTTACAATCAGCTAATGTTGGAGAATTAAATAAATTTACAACATGTCGATTTGCTTGTTCAATTAAATCCATAAATTGAAGACCATCCTAAAAATAAAAGAAATTCATCAGAAAAAAAACAAACAAAAAGAAGTTTGTAATTAAAAACAAAACCTATTTACTTTAAACAAAGCAACAATTTCTTCTACACGAATAATTTGTTCTTCAATTTTCACACGATTTAAAGTTTCTTGAAGAGATTGATCTTCATTTGGTTCCTTATTTTCTTCTGTTTCTTTTTTCTATTTAAGAACAAAAAAAAATGTAATTTTATTAAAAAATTTTTTCATTTAAATATTTACTTCATTATTATCAACATTCATTTCATTATCTTCATCAAAACTTTTATCTTCTGCTCCACTATCTTCGTCATCCGATTGAGATTTTTTTTCTTCTATTTTTTTATCTTCTTTTATATTTTTATTTAATTTGTCAAGTTCTTGACGAAGTTCAGCTAATTTTGTTTCAGCATCATTTTGTCTTTCTTCAAATTGAGTTCGAGTTGAGTCCTACAAAGAAAAATTTCTTATCAAAATATACACACAAAAAAAAAAAAATCTTAATTGAATAAACTTACAACAACAAAATAAGGATTATTAAGAACCATATGCATAACAAGTGTTACAGCATCTTTTCGAACGGCACAAGCTGAATCTCTTAAACGATCAAGTCCTAATTCAAATGCTCGAATATATTGTCTAACAGGAACTTTTTTTTGTATTACAAGTAATGTCCATAATTGTAAACAATGTTGACGAACAAATGCTGTTACATCAGATACATGTTCCTAATTTAATGTTTGAAACAAACAAAAAAAATAATTTATTAAAATAAAAATTAAATGAACTTACACGTAATATTTGTAAAAGATCATCACGCATTTTTCTTTGTCCATCATCTAATTCATCAGATGAAAGAAGTTTTTCAATAACAGAACATAATGCTGTTAAAGCAGCAACACGAATATGATGACTCTAAAATAATGAAATAGTTTATATTGATTCTTAACATGTATTATGTGGGAAACATCAAGAAACACAGGACATGATCATCTTCAATTCTTTTTAGAGATTATTTTTTAGAATAGGTTCTCTTCCCATGAATATGGGTAAAAATATAAGCTCACACCTAATTAAACTTAATTAGCTAATTAATTGCAATGTAATTAGTGATTAACTTTCTAACCTTGTGACAGAGAATCTAAGAATTTTAGAACCTAGATTAATAATTCAGACATTCAGGTACGTGCATTTCTGGTCGGAAAACTTGAAGAATGTTAGAAACTTGGAAACAGGAATCTAGTAATTAAAGTTTTCTAGTTCTGATCGTAACTGGTCACCGAATTCCTACCATTATTTTCTGAATTTTTCGATTCAAAACAGCCCGTACTTCTTGACTCAGGAATAGACTCCACATCACAACCTATATCTATCCCTGAACGAGAGTTTTTATTTTACTATCATCACGATATCTTCAATAAGAGAGTGGAGTATGGGTGTGGGACCATACCCTCTTTCGAAGGACAGAAGTAATTCTTAAGTCAAAGCAAATAGTATCTGTCTACGATCCTGAACTATTATTTAAAAGGTTCACTTGAAACTTGAACTATTTAGAACGATGAATATCTATCTTGAATTTGTTCGATATATGATAGTAATTGTTATATTGTTTTGAAAATTACTTCAGCTGTTAATAGATCAGTTATTTGATCAATATGTGTTCGAATAATATGTGGATCAAGTCTAGCCATATCAATAATAAATGTAGCCATGGTTTTAGCAGATGCATTGTCAGCTTGTGCAGCAACAAAATTAGTTTCACAAATTTCTCTAAATAAATTGAAAACTGTTATTCAAAAAAAAGACAAATAAATAAACAAACAAACTTTAATAATTCAATAGCTAATGATGTATCTTGATAATCAATTAAAAGTGAATTAAGAACAGTAATCAATAAACTTGAATTACTATCATAAAGTTTAACTGCTTGAATAAATTGAATAGAAGCTTCTGAAATATAATAAAATAAAATACTATTATTCAATTGTTTTTCTTATTTTAAAATATACCTCGTGCATGTTCAAATTTATTAATCATAATCGTAAGTATTAATGGAAGATTTTCTTTTACAATTGGATTTTTTGCAATATCTGTTCGACGTATTAAATGATAACATGGTTTAGTTACACATCTATCAAAAAAGAATTTTAATCATTAAGAAAAAAAATAAGTGATTTGTTTTTTTCTTACTTAACAAATTGTTCATCAATTATTGATGAATCCCATAATGCTTTAATATGTGATCGAAGAATATCACAAACACCTTTTAAACATTTATCTCTCAATGAATCAGATGTTAATATTGGTTTTCCACCATTTTCTGCTTCTTTAGCTTTTTTACCTTTCTTTAATAAAAAAAAAGGAAAATTATTTTGATAACAAAGACAAAGAATTATGTCGGATTAGATGACCTATTTAGAATTGAGAAACTAAATATATCATGTTGTAGAGTAAGTTGAAACGCGTCGAATGGTGTATAGTAAATTAAGAAAAGATTTTTATAAACGCTTTCGATTGAAACCAAGGACCACACTGATCATACTTTGGTTACATAGTCATCTATCAGTAAATAAACTCTAATTCCTCCAAAGTGTTATGAAATTAAGATTTAATATATAGTATTCGACGCACATTGACTTACTCTACAACATAGTATATATGATTTTTCAATTCTGAATGGGTCATCAAATCCGTTAGAACCCTTTATTTCTTTTACTTTTGGTGCAGGCATATCAAAATCTGATGATTTATTTGCTTGATCATTATCAAATCGAATAATATATTCAGCAAGTAAACATGAAAGCATTTTAACAATATTTAAATGAAAACGTCGATCATCAGGTGAAAGACCAATATGAATTCGTCGTTGAGCTTCAGACATTTCACTTGCCGTTACTATTTTAAAAACAATTCTTAAAAGGAAATATATTTAAAACAAAAAAAAATCTTACATCGAAGTAATATTTCAACTGCTTGTGAACGTCCAGTAATCGATACTTTATCAAAATGACTATATAAAAAGAAATAATCTTAGCCGAAAAATAAAACAAAAAACGAATCTATACATAGCAATACTGTAGAATAATGAAAACATATCAAGCAGTTCTTTTGGTTCTCGAATTCGTGAAAGATCTGAATTTTAAAAAAAAGTAAAAAGAAATTTAAAAAAATTTCATTTAAATAAGAGATTTATTAATACTTTGTAAGCGTGTATTAATATCAGCAAGATCAAGAACATTTTGTACATAATAAGAACCAGTAGCAAGTTGCTTTTGTAGATCTTCAAATTGATTTGGTACATCGAATGTCGTCCAACCATTTATCTCTACTTCACTATTCCGTGTAGACATTCTCGTTTTGTCTTTCTTCTAAAACAAAAACCCAATGATAAACTAAAAACAATCTACAATACTTCATAAAACAAGTGTCGAAATCAATAATAGACAGAGTGAACACAATAGAAAATGTCTTATTGGTTATTTGCTCTTTGTTCTCAAAAGAAGAAAGCACAAATTTTCGATGGACAGAAAAAAAAGATGAGTCTATCATTTAGTACGACAGAAAATAATAAAAGTAAGTAAATATTTTTTTCCATATTTGAACACTATTAAACTAACATTCGTTAACTATGTTAACAGACTTGAAATATAAAAAAAAACGAACAAATCAGATAAGATGTCGCTCACATACACAAAGCGATAATAAATATAATTAGCGTACAATATCGACAGAGATCTCGTATTCTAAGTGTGTTTTAATTAAACAGGAGTATTCTGAGGTCGCTACGATTTGGGAAAGGGTCGATGATTCAAGAAACTCATTGGAAGATTTTTGCTAAAGTTGACCGAGTTTTGCGAGATGGGGCGAAGGAGTGATTGAACGTTTTTTGAAGAATTGATGAGCAAAAAACACAATAAAATGCTGAAACTCTGCTAGAGAAAAATGAAAATTTTTCAACATTGTCATTGTTAGGTTTAACTACAGTAATCGCCATAAGTGGCCGCGATTGAAAAAACGAGGAAGACAAAGGAGTTATTTGGTTATATTTTAATTATGAAATGTACATTATATGTGCATCATCCGCATAATTAATATAATGGCTTTTTCTTTGAATTAACAATGCTACTCTATTTTCCATAGAATTGCCTAATTTTTCAGCAAATTTAATAGCTAAGTTTCTCCATTCTTTTTTTCTATTCTTTCAATGAAATTATTGATCGATATATACGGTTCTTTTTTTATTCTGAGCTTCACTACTGCCCAGACATTTTCACTTGGGTTACAGTCTTTGAGTTTTATATTCTGCTGGGGTCTTTTTTAAAATATCGTCACTTCTTAGCAATGTTTTCGAGGTCGGTCTTATTGAATGTACACCAGTTTCTTTAAATCTTCTTCTTAATGTGGTTTTACTAATTTTTATATCTTTCTGTGATAACCTAAACGCAATTTGACCAACAGATTCGATTGAATGTTGAGCTACCATGGATTGAATTGTTGCGTATTGTTTTTCCGGTATAGGCCGGATTTTTGTGCAACTTATACGTCACCAGCTATTTCATACCTTCTAACCCTACATTTTACAATTACTTACTGATTCGTATAGATACTGTGAAATATCACGATTTGACATATGTGGGGAATAGCTCTGCCTTTATAGAAAGATAATTTCTCGTCTTTTCTTTAAAAAAAGGTTAATTTTCTATTGAGTTATAAATTGATAACAGAATGAATACAAATGTTCCTATTTATATCGGATGATAAGCCCGACTAGCCCGTTCAAACAAAGCAAAAAGATAAAATAAAAGTCATTGTTGAACAAGAAAAAGAGGTCGCGGCCACTTATGGCAAGTACTGTAAAAGATTGAAAAAGTTGATTCAAATTTATTACGTTGGTCAGAATTGGAACAAATCGATATACTCTATCCTTTCTCCTCACTCTATTAGGAATGTTTGTCGAACTTGAATCAATTAATTCGTATAAAAGATGAATGAATTTAATCACTTTTCATCGATATAATGGGTATTCTTTATTCAAATGACGAGGGAATCTATCTATGTGTTAATCGCTTTTCGATTAAGACGATGTTTATTTGATGAGCACTATGAAGTAGTAGAAAAGTTTAGAATGATTTGCTTTTCTAGATCTTTGCTCTTGAGATATCTAAATTTCACTGAGTTTTTCAATAAAAAACTATGATTCTCCTCAGATCATGTGGAAAAAAACGACCTTCGAATTTCAATTTGAAACTTTGCAGGAACAAAGTTCTTAATGAGATTAATTCATTGGATAAGTTCTAACTTTTCTTCATCTTCTATCCTGAAATATTGCATACGCGAAATTTTCTCATGTGTAAAAGTAAATTTATATTTCTACAAAGAAAATATTGGAAACGATTAAATTTTCACCATTAACTATTCTCATTAAGAACTTTGTTGGTGCAAAGTTTGAAGTCGAAAGTTGATTTTCCACGTGATCTGAGGAAACAACAGATTTTTGTTGGAAAATCTGGTAAAATTTCAATTTCAAATAGATATGACTGAGTTTTTAATGAGAAACTTTTACCAAGATTTTGAAGAGTTTTCTATATTATATTGTCTCTTTGTTTAATGTTCATTATTAGAAAATGAATCCTAATCAATTTTTTTTTGTAACAAATAAACTAACATTATTCAAATAATAACAAGAAATTACGTTAAAGATAAATTATTTTTTTAATTAAATTACCCTTAATAATTTAAACAATAATTAGTTTATATTTCTTAAGATTACTAGCGTTACATATGAATTCAATTTCTGTTAAAGTTAGTCTAGAAATTCAATTAAATTTTAAAAGAATAAATCTATAGTCAAAATCTCTTTTTACATGGTGATATTCATTAGATTGATAGTGCACTCGTTGACAACAAGAGAGATTATAATAGATTTCACACATGCTATATTTGTCTCGAATAATAAGCATTAAAATAATTGATAATTGTTAGCATATGAATTACAAGGAAAATATTTTCCAGTACATCAATATTTATGATGAAGAAAAGGATAAGACTCTTCTTTCTTTAACTGCCAATCAACATTAACTACTACTTATTTTTCAATGTTATCAGTCGCTATTTTTCACTAGTTTTGTACTAATAAATACATAATATGATATAATATTTTTATTGCCTAATGACAAAAGAAAATATCTATTGTTTTTTATTGTTTCATTAGTATAAAAAGCATCAACAATCTATCAGCTACAAAATTTGGAATTACTGTTTTGTAAAAGATGTAATATTATTGAGACATTTATTCTCTAGTTAAAACCTATTGGAATTCGGATTTAGTATAAATCATTTCAGAAGCTAATAGTTGATCCTTATCAGAGCTATGCAAGCAACATTACGCAAACTTACACAGATTGTGTGCTACACTATCGTATGTTTGTTGATATTCTAGAAGAACATTGAATAAACGAATTAAAACTTACTAAATATGTCCATAGAGCGAAAAAAAAATACTCTACTATCAAGTGACTTACACTGTTTGTTTCTTTTGTGCTTCTAGTTTTGTTATTCGATAATATTAGTAGTTATTCGTCAGTATCAATATTTTTAATGTAATCTAGGTTGATAACAATACTGATAGTACTATCGAAGGTTATGCAATATGCAATTAATATATACATTGAATATTCTACATGATTGACCGAATTACAATATATTAATCAATCATCTGAAAAGATTTTTCTTGACATAATCAAGAATTCTCGAATAAAGACATCATCTTTTACATTTTAATAATGTCCATATTCTATCATAATTTTTTTTTCTTGTTGTGTCAAAAAGCTTTGAGTGAGACGATAAAATTCATTTGTTGATTTAGTAATCAAGGAAATTTCTTTTATACTTAGGATATATCAAAAGTAGTAATTTTGATCGATAAAATCCCCATAGGAAAGAGTTAATCAAGTATTTGATCTAGTAGCTATGCTTAATCAGGTAAAATCAATTTGTTTGAAGACATTTGTTGAAATTATTTTTTCAAATAATCTTTGATTCAAAAATGCATCATCTTGATTACGGCATTCCATATTGTGATGAGAGACTATTTGATTGATGAATTTTATCAATTAGATCGAGCACCTGAAAAATATGTAATATTTTGTCTGTAGAATAAGATGGATATAAAATAATTATGATACATTCTAATGTAGGATAGTAAAAACATCTTTATGAATATATAGTTGGACGTTGTCATAATGACGTTCGATATCTTGAACGCTAGTCGATAATCTTTATCTCCTCATACCATTAATCAGTACTGTTAGAAAATTGAGCATTTGACTAGTTATTTTTAGAAAAGATATGAAACATTGTTTTGAAGCTAAACTATTGTGCCAAACTGTTGTTGATGGAGATTGTTCGATTTCAGTTCGAATAATCTGAACCGATTGATGTATGACATATCCAAAATTTGTCACTTATTATGACTTCATGCATTCCCTGTATTTCTCTTCAATATATGCTACGATTAGTAGACAAGAATGCAATTGTAATGAATAGAATCTGTTTTCAATAATAAATTTCCATAATTTAGAATATTCAAATCAACATAAATTGATTAGCTGCTTATTACTTAATGGAATGCTGTAGTTGTCCAGTACAAAAATTTGATTGAAATCTATTGAAGAATTGTAAGCAATTATGAAATATGTAAAGATATGTTGAAACATTCATGATATATGAAATTGATTTTTATTTTTTAAATTTATTTCAAAATATATATTTATGATTTCATTTAGTTAATAATTATCAAGAAACTTTCAAGATTATTTGAAAAGGTATACGAACAGAGCCAGTTATGTGACATCTATAATTATGATAGATTCTTCGAATGATTTATCTTATTCTGATCAAAAATACAAGATATCTATTTGTGTTATATTTAACTATGTCATACTTTTGAATCTTATAATAATTATACATGACATTTTACTGTTCATTGCATAGATAATAAAATATTTCTAGTTATTTTCCTTGTTACAATAGTACGTAGTTGATATAATATTAAAACAATAGATTATGTAAAGAAAAATAATGAATATGTAAGATTCATGAGTGATAGTAAATAAATGATAATATGTTTACATAAACATGACTAAATATGCGTAGGATAAAAGATTCATATAGATAGATTAGTCAATACGATATAATAGGAAACTAATGACGTAGAACAAAGCATCAATGCGAAAAAAAAATAATATGACGATTGTTTTTCTCTTCGAACAATACAAATATACATGAATGAATCAGAGAATAGATAAATACATTTGTTCGTTTAACTCTACATCATTTGGTGGGTAGTTTTTACATCATTGTTATTATTAAGTCAACCCACCATTTAACTACTAATCATAACTAGTAGTGATAAATTCTTCTCTTCCCTTTTGTCTTAATACAGACGTTGATTAAATATGGCTCGTTATTATAATATTCTGAACAAAGTTAATTTACCTCTTGTGTCACGTCCAAGAGATATTGATCCAGTTTTTATCTGTAAATCTAAACCATCTATTATTATTGAAAGTGAAAAGAAAACACCAAGATCAATAAAACATCGTCATCCAAATATAAGTACTTCAAAAGAAAATACACCTCCAAGGCGTATTGCTGCACATCAAAAATTTCATAAACCATGTCAAACAATGGTTAAAACGATTGTAACAAAACCAGGTTTGTTTGAAATATTTAGTTTATAATTAAAAATCTTTACTTTTTTTTTTATTTAGATCCTCGACTTATGTTTAATTTTATTGATGTTAATACGGATTCTCGTCTTAGTTATCTTGAATTTCGTTCTTGGATGCTTATGATTGATGCAACATTAGCTGAACATGAATTACTTCAAATATTTAATGAAATGGATCGAAATGGTATGACATATTTTCTTGTTTTTTTTTTAATTGATTATTCTTGTTCTAGGCGATGGTTTTATTCAATACAAAGAATTTCGAGATTATTTTGGTGATGATCTTTTAACAAGTGAAGTAAATGTTGCTGAATTAACTACATTATTTAATGAAATCAATACTGATCAATCGGAAACTATAACACTTGATCAACTTTTAGCATTTTTTAATCGATATTCAACGATGATAACAAAAGAAGAAGCACAACTTTTTCTTGGTATGGTTTCCGATGTTGGAAATGAGAATACTATTACACTTAAAGGTATTTATGAGAAAAAAAACTTCAATAACTGAGAAATATATTTCATATTTTTTTCTAGAATTTTTAAAAGCAATGCGTGAATGAAAAGTATGAATGAAATATTTAAAAATTTTGTCAGTTGATAATTATAATTATTATTATTTTCTTAATGTAAATTTTTACTCGTTGTATTATCTTTTTTTTCTCTTTCACTTTATTTTTAATAAATATACTAAACACAAAAAGAAAACGACGACAATAAAAAACAAATTTTGATTTAAATCAGTTGAATAAAACAATAAAAACAAATGGACTACATAGCAGTGTTACACTCAATTGGTTTATTAGGTCCATTATATCTTGAACAAATGGCTTTGATTAAACTCTTTTCATCATAACCTTCCGAACATCCATACCAAACACCATCATGCGTACACCAATCTTTTCCATTTAAATAGATTGTACAAGATTTTTTAGCTGATGCTGAACGTGTTTTTTCTAATGATTTATGAAATAATTCATTGGCTTTATTTGATTTAACACATGTATCAATATCTGACCATTTTAATGTATTATCCGATACTTCTTTAACACATTGTTCACCATTAGTTGGAATGTTATCAAGATTTTTCGATTGACATTGAAGAAATTTAATTAACGTTGTTTGTGAACACATATGTTGTACACATAATTGTTGTTTATTACCGAGACACTCTTCTGGACCATGCATACAGGTAAATTCATCTGAACTTTTTCCCTGTGCAATATAAGATACAGTAAAATTAATAATTGAAGATAATTTTAATAAAATTGGAGCGAATAATAATTCACATATTCTTGCATCAGGACATTTTGACATAACATAAAAATCAACACGTACTGGTGTATCTGATATAACTGGATCAGACAAAAAAAAAGAAGAAAAAGTAGTTCGTTTGCTTATTTTCCAATATGAAAAGAAATTTTTTGTTGTATTATTACTCGTTATTGAATCAGATGATGGATAAGAACGATAGAAAATAATCATTCCCAAAATAAAAATTGATGCAAGACAAATAAAAAGAAGTCTTTGATTCATTGGTAAACGTTGAAACCAGATTAAACGACGATAATATTGACGCTAGAAAAAAAAATAGAAGCTAAATATTATTTTACTTATTACTCTCATGAAGGAAGTTCTCCGACTAATTAATCGCTTTTGAGTCGAGACTATGTAGAACCAAATGAGCTATGAATATCCTCAAAAGAATTCGTGTACTTAGCTTAGTGTTGTGTCAGATGATACAACTATGATGATAGTATGTTTTTTTACATCGTTTCGACAGATTTGATATTCTTATTCCAGGATGGAAACAAATCAAAAAACTTGAAACTTTCACAATAAAATTCTCTCGTTATGACCTGTCTCTATGCGAAATTTCAAGTCAAAATTCGAAAATGAGTTTTCCTGAGAAGGAAGACCACGACATTCATTTAAAAAGTACAGTATCTCCGCAGTAATAAGTTAAGAGTACGAATTCTTTTTAGGGTATTCATAGCTCCTTTGATTCTACATAATCTCGACTCAAAAGTAATTTATCCTTTGAAGGACTTTCCTTATCAGATGTCATCAAATATTCTCTCATAAAAAATTTCTTAATATTATAAGCGGAATTGGTAAACATAACCTTAATTATTTAGCTATATGAAACCGATAGAGTAAATTTATTCTTTCGATAAAAATAAACAATATTCGAAAGTATGATAATAGATTGTTTGATCTTTAAAAAAAAAACATTTTTCTAAAGTGTAAAATATTTTAGTTAATTTTCATATTGTAAATCTATTACAAATAATATGACTAAGTTTTGTGGTCACAGAGAGCATAGATTGTATTATATTATATTATTTTTGTTTTCTAAATAGAATCCTTCGTATTAAATAGTAGAATCATTCAAGTACTTTCCTGTGGTTATTATAAATATTGTAAAGAGAATAATTACATATACTCACTATTGAAGAATTGAAAATAATGCTTAAAAAAATTTGCGTATAGTGTTTATGTTTTTCTCCTTCAAACGAATCTGAGTAACCAATCCTTTGTTCGTTTCGTATAATTCAGTTTCGTTCGTCTTTCTCAAGGCAACCAAAAACCAATCATATATTTTCTTCTTCGTTTCTAATCATATGCTGAATATTCACATATGATTGGCTTTCTCAGGTATATCTTTCTATCAAAAAGTATGTACCACAATAATTTAATTGATTTATATAGCTTACCAAGGCGGCTTGTTTTAGATCGACGTATAGTGGCATGATTAAATATGATCACAATAATAAATTTCTACAACTAAAATCTTATTATTAGCAAAAAACACGTCAAGACATGCAGCTTTATGAAAAAAAACAGTGTGATAAATTTTCAGTTTTCTTTCTTTTGATCAATAATCAATCGAATAAATACAAGAAAGTAAATCTTATGTATACATAAAAGGTGAACAATAATGAAAAAAATTAAATGGTAAAAATCTCACCGTAACATATGATTGAATATGTGAGAAATGACGACGATATTAAATAAAAAAAAAACCAGAGAAAAAGAATTTTAAAGCGATCAAAACAGCTCAAGGAATATTCATGACTAGAATTGACAAAAGGAAAGAAAGAGACATCAAATGGAATGAAAAAAAAATAAATGAAGATTTAAAAAAAAATGATTTATTGATTAGATGATCATTGTTTTTGCAATTGTAATGACATAGTTTCTAAATCTTTTTGTAGATGCATATTTTTTGTTAGAGTTTCTTCTAATAAACGTTGTAAATTTTTAATCGTATCATCATTTGTTGATTGATTTTTATTGCCACTTAGACTTTCCAACATATGACGAAAGTTTAATGTTGTATTTGATTGTCGATCTGTTGAAGTATTTTGTCGACGACGAGATGGTGGAGTTGAATAACGAGTACTTACACCTATGTTCATAATATCATATTTAAATATTATTTTTAAGCAGAAAAAAAAATTATTTACCCGAAACTGATGCACGTTTCTCGTGTGAATAATGTTGAATAAGATCATTAGCCATTGAAGAATTTGAAGATTCTAAATGTCGAACTTGTTCTTCCAGTATAGAACGTTCTTCTTGTGTTCGTGCTAATTTTTGTATTAAATCTTTATTTTCTTGTTCTAATGCAGTTGTACTCATTTGATTTGATGTTACTGAAGCCTTTTATTAGATACAAAAAAAAATATTAAAACTTTTCAAAATTTGAATTCAAAATGTAATTACTCGATCCACATATCCTATGCCACTAAATGATGAAACTGATCTACAAAATAAAATGATTTTATTTTAATATTATAGAAGAAAGCATAACATTCAAATTATACATACGCTGTATCACCTTGACGGCTTCCATCTGCTTTTGGTATATAAAATAGTTCATCAAGTGCTATGAGAGGAAAAAAAATAATCAACATGCTATTATGTCAATATGAGAACAACACACCAGCTTTATCCCCTGAAAGTAGTTCTGTCAATTTTTCTTGCATTCGTTCGTTTTTCTTTTTTTCGGCATTTAATTGTTTTTGTAAATCTTTCATCTTTAATGAGAAGAAAAAATTCATAATATAAATTTTTATTTAGTTAAAGTCAATCAGAACAAACCAATGCAGCTCCTTTTCGTTCATGTGCTCGTTTTTCATCAATAAATGTTGTTGCTTCCTATAAACAATTAAATAAACAAAAGGTAAGATTTTAATGAATATATTTGTTAACTTGTTTTAAAACATCGATTTGAGCATTTAGTTCTTCAATTGTATGAGCTTTTGCACTAAGAATTTCGGTTAAATTCTATACAAAAGGTTAGTGTTTTTTTTCATGTAACAGAAAAATACGAAAAAATTTTTACTTGAAAATTTTCTTGATGCTTTTGTCTTTCATGATCTAATTGTTTTTCATATTGTATTTTTTGTTCGTTGAATTGTTGTTCAAAATTTTGTTTAAGTTCAATTATTTCCATCTAGTGAAAATAACAATTATTAATGATTTAAAACGAGAAAATAACAGAATAAATGTACTTGTAAATTTTCTAAACGAATTGTTAAAAGTTGTTTATGTTCTTCATCAGATTTAATACGATTTTCTAATTCTATACAACGTGATTGATATTGTTTCAACGTTCGATCTTTGATCTAAATGATATTTATAATTTGTTTAATATTTTCTATTTTAAAATCAATCGTCCTTCATCGTGTTTTCTTTTTGTTTATTGAATGATTATTAGTAAAGTAAAACAAAATAACATGAAGATGTCAAAATGATTCATTTGAAAATTTAAGTCTTCATAAGATATTTACAATTCAATATTATTTTAAATTTTGATTGAAAATATTCAGACAATGTCTTTATTTTTTCTTTTTTTTCGGTATTGATTATTTTTAATCTGTCTAGGAAGATTTCTCTGTAACTAATAAGAAAACTATTAATTTTATACCTTTAATTCATTATTTTCTTTTTCAAGTCGTTCAATTTCTGTTTGATATTTCTCTTTTTGACTTTGTAAAGCTAATTTAGCTTTTCCTTCAGCTTGTAAACTATTTGCAGCCATTTCATCAATGATAGCTTTACGGTGTTCAGCTAACTATAGAAAACCAAATTTTATTATTTTTTTATCTTTTAAATTTCATAAAAACAAAACATACTCGTAGTTGAGATTCATGATCACGTGTTTTATTTGTTACTTGCTCTTCAAGCATCTGAACAGTTTGTAATAAAGTTTCATAAGCTTCTCTTGATTGCTAAATAAAAAACATCGAACACATAATTTATTAAGTTTTTAATTCAATTGAATTAATTTTTTTTGTCCAAGAAATTTCATCACACCTCAGTTTCTGTACGTAATAAATCACGATCAAGAATTGTTTGATTAAGTAACAATTCTTTATCTGCAAGAATTCGTTGATGTTCAGCATTAGTAGTGCGTAATTGTTGATTTTGTTCAGCAGCTACTGTGCCAATCTTTAATAAAAGCGTTATAAGCAAGCAAATAGCACATCAGATTAGCGTTATATTTTTTTTTATATAACAAACCTGGGATTCTAATTGATTAATAGTTATTTGTAATTCACTGAGACGTTTTTTATAATTATTTATTTCATCATCTTTTGTCTAAAAAAATAATTATATTAATTAAAAAAGATTTTTTTTTTTGTTCCAAGACAATGACTTTTGTTATTGTTTGAATTTCATCTTGAAGTCGTTTTATTTCTGATTTGAGTACATCAATTTGTAATTCATTTGTTGTTTTTGAATTACTATTATCAGTACTAGAATAATAAAAAAAGAACAATAAAAAAAATTTTTATATGATTTTTTTTTATTACATAATATCATGAATACGTTTTTCATAATCATGTTGTAATTGTAAACATGTATTTTGTTTTTCATCAAGTTTTTCTTTTAACTATAAATAAATATTATTGTTTTTTTTTTGCTATTCAAGATTAAATAATATTTTGTTTTTTTTTTTACATTTTCAATTTGTTTCAAAAGTTTTGTATTTGTTTCATTGGCTGATATTTCTAATTGACGAAATTGTTCTTGAAGAAGACGTTTTTCTTCTTGTTCAGTTTCAAGACGAATACTATTAGCTAGATTAAATAACAGAAGAATTATTATTCAAATTTAAAGATCATATAAAAAAGAAAATTTACTATCGAATAATTTTGTTTCACCATTTGTTGATTTCGTTGAGACAACATGAACAAGACCACCTTCACTACTGATTAAATAAATATAATATAATAAAACAAAAAATAGTCGAATAAACAATGTTTGAAATTTGCGAAACGATGTATATCATGATATGACCTATAAGTTCATTCTTTCGACTTATTTTCTCTTGAGACATCAAATATTATTATATGAATGAAAATGATTGCGTGCGTTTTTGTTATATTTATCCAATAATAGAATTATTATAAAAGTATATCTCACATCAAAAATATCTATCCAATAGAGACTCTTCTCATTATGGTTTGTATTTGAATTGAGTTTTATCAAAGAATGAATTCTCTTGTTTCCTCTTCTTTTTTTTTCTCTTTCTAAATTACAAAAAAATCTTTATAAAAAAAAAACTACTATCAGACAATCTTATAGAAATTTCTATTAAAACTGACATTCTATCTATTATTCTGGATTATTTCGTCGAACTTCTTGTTAATTTCAATTTCAAAGTGAATAAATCATCTAAACATAAGTGTCCTGATATTATTTAATCTAGAGATAATTAATCTAATTATTTTTATTGGTTCAGTTTACTTTGTAATAATCAAACTCCAATGCATTTATTGATACAATTCTCAAGAAAATTCCAATGAGATTTTCTCATTATAAAAACAAAATAAATCTGGACACAGACATTCTTTTAATTATTTCTGATACAATCTTAGTATACAATATAAACAAAAATATAAGATGTGTTTAATCGAAAGAAATAATAATTATACATTATACATTCTTTGGTAAAAACCTTGATATAAAATATATGGATATAGAAAGGAAAGAAGCGATAAAATCGAACTTTTTCCCTAACGTCTAGTTGATCATGGTTTATATGATAGTTATGCTCTCGATTGATAAAGAGACACAAGATACATACCGATTATCATCACATTCTACTTCCCCATCTTCTTTTTGAAATGATTCATTACTTGAACTTGCTGTCGATATTGATTCGACAGTTTTTGCTGATAATTCTTTTAAAAACAATTTAGTTTTATTTTTTATTATAAAAATAAAATATTTTCTTTACCGGAAAATTTTTTTTGTAGAACATTATTTTCTGCTTTTAAACGTCTATTTTCTTCATGAATTAAATTAATCGTATCTGCAGTATCATGAGAATTATTTAAATTTGTATGACGACCTTCTTTATATAATTTAAGTTCACTCTCCAATTGTTCAACTTTGAATGTATACTAAAATAAAATAGAAAAAAAAATAGAATATAAGTTAAGGTGTACTAACTGTGCTAATTCATTTTTGGAGTTTTTTTCTCTCTCTATTAATGTCAATATATAAATAAGAAAACAATTTGCCTTCGAGTAACAAGAATAACCTATTATTTGGTAATACAAATAGAAAACGTATTGACGTAAGTGAAATGATTATATTTCTCATTTATGAAAAAGTCTCATTTTCTTTTTTTTTTTTCTACCTAATGATTTTACATAAAAATAAGCTTTTTTTTATTTATATAAATTGATTTGTTCATAAGCTGATTACTATGTTTTTTTATTGTTTGAAAAAAATTTAATCTTCTGTTATACATTATTTGTTTGTTTTGGAACTTAATTCTTTTTTTTGTATCGTTGTATTGAGAGAAAAATCGCAACCTTATCATTTCATTCATTATAAAGTGTCATGAAGATTCTCTATTCATTTGTTAGCATTAATATAAATTATCATCAGATCAAAATTTATTTATCTAAGTAAGTTTTTATTTAAAAGTCTATTATTTATTTGCAATAGATTCTTTTTAATATATCTATGATCAACAATAGCATGTGTTTTTAAAATTCATCTTGAGTTTTTCTTTATCAATACCGAACACAAAAAAGAAACTTTAGTATCGCTTAAAAAGTAAAATAAGTTGTTTACTATTTATATCATCAATGTATATCTTGCATAAAATATGAGTTCATGATCTCAGTATTTTTTTTCTCTCATATTATTAATCAACTTAGTCATATCAACCGTATCCCATAATATCTGTTGATAAATTGTGAATGATGTTTTTCATACTTTTTCTCGACGTAAACAACTGAAATTTTTATCACATATATATTTAATCAAGATCCTTTATTTATGAAAGTTTTGGACCTCCAGCTATAACTAACGGGTGGCGCATAGTAAATGAGCCACTTTTGTGTTTCATTTTTCCACCACTTAATACGCTTTATTAAAAAATAAAATATACCACAAGATGCGGCATGAAAAGCTCTACCATCTACAAAGTAAAGCATATTTTAATTGTATAATTTTTGTTTTGAAAAAAAGCAAAACTTTATACGATCAATTTTTGCCACTGCGACAACTGATCGCATAAAGTTTTGCTTTTTTTCAAAACAACAATTATACAATTAAAATATGCTTTACTTTGTAGATGGTAGAGCTTTTCATGTCGCATCTTGTGGTATATTTTATTTTTTAATAAAGCGTATTAAGTGGTGGAAAAATGAAACACAAAAGTGGCTCATTTATTATGCACCACCCGTTAGTGGTGAAATACATAAACTTTCGTACTCGAGTTTTGTATTATTTTCATTGACAAAATACAATGCAAAAAAATGAGTACGAAATTTTATGCATTTCGCTACTAGTTATAGCTAGAGGATTGAACCTATCAGAAATAAAATACCTTGATTAGATATATATGTGATAAAAATTTCAGCTCTCTACACCAAGAAAACGTATGAAAAATATCATTAACAATCTATCAACAGTTATTATGGGACACTCTTTATAAACTAATCAATTATCGAACATTATGTACTCTTTTTTGATTCTTCGAATAATATTTGTAAAAAAAAAAAAAAAAGTATATATTTTTCATTATAGTATGTGTAATTCAACATTAACGAACTTATTTTGTCCTTGAGAAAGCAATTAGATGATATGAAACTATAATTTTTTTCTTTTTAGCAAATTAAAAAAAAAGCTTTTAAAACTAAAAAGAAAATATTTTATATATTTAGTTATAACAAATTTCATTCAGACAACCGAACGAAGACAAATAATTTTATTCAATGAAATTAAATTATTTCTTATTGATAAATTTTTTCGATATTTTTCTTTTAATTCATACAAATGAACCATTTTATTTTGGTATTATTAATCATCATACAGAATGGTATTTTCATTGTCTACAAAATTTTACAAAAATATTAAATCCACCATTAAATAACCAACCATTAATCTCATATGAATGTCCATATCCATCATTAACAATGGAAATTTTACCATTAGAAATTGATTTTACATTATTATGTCGTTTACAATCACGTTTAATATGGATTATAATTGATCTATATCAATATAATACATTTTTATGGTTAATTAATCGAAATAATATTGATATAAAAATAGAATTAAATAATCAAATTGAAATAAATAATTCTACAATTGAATCAAAAAATTATACAAATCGTTTCATTTTAATCGATGCATTTTATATTCCATTTGAATCAATTGATATATTATTAAATAAACAAATTGAAATAAATATTCAAATAAAAAATTTAAATCAATTAAATCAATGTAAATTTTTTATTCAAGATAAATATCTATGGAAAACATTTATCGATAATCATTGTAATTCAATTCAATCGAAAACACTTTTTGTTCAATATGCTAAATGTGACTTTTATTTAAAGAAGTTCGTTTTACAAACATAAATAAAAATTCTTTCAAAAATTCTTTTTTTTTTCTTTTATTTTAGATCAATACCTATCGGTATAAGTCTTCTTGAGAATAATACTTTTGAAACAACTACAAGTAATAATCTACTTGATTTTAATGTTATTCTATCTGTCGATACAGAACAACTCACAACTCAACCTTATAGTATTGAACCAAATATAAGTTTTATTTCAACAACAAATTCAACGCCTTATTATAATTATAATTTATTAATTGAAGAAAATTATCGTCAAATATTAACATTAATAACTCGTTCAACAACAAATTCAACTCTATTGAAATTAACATTTATTTGTTTAATAATTATTCTTATACTATTAATTATATTTTTTATTTATATGTTTTATTATCATTATTATCTTCGACTAAAATTATCATCATCAATTAGAAGATCTTCATCATTAATATAAATTTCCTTAACAAAAAAAAAAGCAAATTGCTTTTATTTACTTCATGTAATTCACGCATCATTGTTTCATTTTGTAGTTTAAAGTCTTCTTCTTGCGTGTGAACTTTACGTGCAAGTACATCATTTTCACGTTGAACTTCATCAGTATCTCGTCCAGAAACACGACGAATTTTCCATGGTAACTAAAATATATATATATATATATACATGTATATTTTTTAAACGATAATTTTTTTTTTTGTTTGTAATGAATAACATACCACTTTAGTTGGTAATCGTAAATGAATACTATCTTTTTCAAAATTTTCAATTTGAGTTTTTAAATGCACATTTTCTAATATGACAAAACGAAAAGAAAAACAAAGTATTTATATTTAGTTATAAAAATTTTATAAATAAATATTAAACAAGAATATCTATAGAAATTCATGTACAATGAAAGTCAATGTTTAGAAATCAAATGATAAATCTTTCGTACAAAAGTCTTGACACAAAATATTCATTCATTCTTTCGATCACTAAACAACAATTGGTTACGATCAAAATTTTCTATTATTTCCGAACATATGTTCAGATTTTTCTTCTGGAATAAATTGAACAACTATCAGCAAGTGTTATGAAAAAGTTCAAAATTATGTTTATACAAAGCAAAATAACAGTTTTTAGCGGAGTTCTCTTCGTTCGCATCTTGAAATAGTTTCAACTCAACATTATTGTAAAGCACTGATTTCTGTACAAAATGATATATTACAACAAAACGATATCTTGTCTATACATGTCCACTAAAGAAGGGCTGGACGATATCCCCGAAAATCGAAAAATAGTTTCGCTTATAGCAGAAATCCTTCACCCCATACAAAGTCAAGCAGAAATACTTTTCATAGCGAAACACAATCCATCACTAAATGTTTTCAATTAGAAACGTATCGACCATATCTATCTTCACAAGGAGATATGTTTAATATACAAGGAGAAATCGATCAGATTATCCTTACAATATCAGCAGAAAGGAATTAAATTATTTTTCATTGTAAGGAGAAATTCTAGTAGAAATGGATTATCTCAAACAGAAATGTAAATATTTCTAACAGAAATCCTTCATCCATCTTAACGTTAATAAGCAGAAATAACAAAACGAAAAATAGGTCATGGAGTAGAGACTGATAGAGATATGCTTGTATTCTTTCATTCTGTTTCTCCTCGCTGAAGTATTTCTTCATGGTAAATTAAACGTGATAAACATAGGTTTATATTCTTTTTTTTTTTCATTTCTTCTTGATACGTATGACTTTTTGTGGGTGAACCATTTCTCCTTAAACGGGAACAATTATCCCATCAATTGGTCCAATCGTCCACTGCTGTAGTTTTTTAGCATTTAATTAATTTAAAAATAAAAACATGAAATTTGAAACTTTACTCATGTCAACTTTAACAAAACTAATTTATTCAGTTTTACTTGTGATGAACTGCAGTTTGAACAGTTCATTAAAGATCATTGTGACAATTGAAGATCTATTCAATGATTATGATGAATTATGATAAAGCTTTTATGAAACTTGTCCTTGATTTTGATGAAAATTTTTCTTAACTACGTACAAATCGATGACCCTTATTCGTACATTATGAAAATTATCTTTATTGATAATACACAAAAAATCCATTCATTTAGTCAAGATATTTATTTTCTTTTTCAGAAAACTGATACTAAGTACAACCGATAATAATAGTTTGCTTGGGTTACTTCCAAGATCAGTTTGTAAGTACTTATGATATCATCTCATATAACACTTGATAATTATTATATAAAAGGAAAATAAATTATCATACTTCTCCTTGACATCAAGTATAACCGTCTGGAAATTATTGCAATTCATTTTAGACTAAAAATATATCTTCTACAAATTACAGTAGCTTTATTTCCCAGGACAATCATCATTGTTTCTCGTACTATTTTTATCGCATTCCGAAATAACGGAAAACGGCAACATAATGGCGTCGATTTTCTTGGATCTGGATTAGAATAAAGATATTATCTAAACAAAAACTCAGGGTCTCTACGAATTCTGGTAACTTGACTTAATCCAAAATAATTTATTCTAAATGATAACTTATGTCCTCTATGAAGTGCAGCTTAACTTTCTTACGAAAAGAATTTATTTTTCTATGTGTCCTCATCAATTCAAATCTTTGGAAACTATTTTATTTATGAGAAATTCAACCGTTTTATTTAAAACTTATAAATTCATCAATTTCATAGTTAACTACAACTTGAAAAAACAATTTTCCTATGCTCGCAAATGAGAAATAGTATAATTAATTCGATTTCCTTATGTTTCGTACAATATTGCTGCGATCTACGTATGAATCTATCCATGAATCTGATACCTTCAATATAATGATATGTCTATTTATCTCCCTCATAACAAAATTTAGTTTTCAAAATTTTGCTAGAACGTATTTTAGAAAAATTATTCAGTATTGAAAAAGAAAACGCAATGAGAATTCAGTCAATGGATGAATTCTTCACACCTAACGAGGGAAGTTCTGCAACTGAATAAATCGCTTTTGAGTCGAGATTATATAGAATCAAATGAACTATGAATATCCTGAGAAATGATCGTACTCTTAGATTATTACTGCACAAATACTGTACTCTCAAATGAATATCGTAGTTTCCCCTTCGAAAAACTCATTTTCGAATTTCTACTAGAAATTTTACATAGAGATAGGTCTTAACAAGAGGAGTTTATTATGAAAGTTTCAAGCCTTTTGATTCACTTCTATCCTGAAATAAGAACATACAATCTACCAGTTTATATGAGCGATGTAAAAGACACGCTACCACCATAATTGTATTTTAGGATAGAAATAGAGATAAGATCTGAAACATTTACAAAAAACTATTCTCGTCAAGAGTTGTCTCTATAAAAAGTTTCATGTCGAAATTCGAAAATCAGTTTTTCTGTTACTACGACATTCATTTTAAAAGTGGTAGAATCTCTGCAGCAATAAGCTAGGAGTACGAACTAGTTTCGAAGTATTCATAGCTCATTTGGTTCTACATTATCTCAACTCAAAAAATAATTTATCAGTTCGAGGATTTCTCTCGTAAACCATAGACAGACTATGCAAACGATAAATTCCTATTCTGTTCTAATTATATTTGTAAACTAATAATTATTTTTATATCATCACTTCGAAATTGACATATACATTTAATTTACCTGTTTTTAGTTTTTTATTTTGTTCTTCCAATTGATAATTTCGCGTTTTAATTTCAACCAATTGATTTTGAAAACGCTGAAATTCTTCGTCGGATACCGACATAATCTAGAATGAACTGATTTATAAAAAAAAAAAAAACAATTCATTTTCTTATTTGGTTTCTTTTGTCAAAGTATATTCAAGTTTTGCATATTGATACACAAAACAAAAACACACGAAAGAGGTAAAAGCTACACTCCATTCCAACAAAATGTATATGTAAGATGACCACAGTGAAGTTTGATGAAGTATGGAAAAAGAAGAAATTGTTATGCACACATACAAGCATCATAAATGAAATGAAAGAAAAAAGAACAAAAACAAATTACATATTTAGCAAATGGATATGACATAACGTAAACAAGAAAAAAAAACACCACCAATCTAGAACTGTGATCAATAATTATTTCGATGTGTTGTTCCTAATATGATAAAAATTAGAAAATAGATCATAGAGAATATAGACTTACGTGATGATTTCGAATTTTTCTGTTCAAATAAACGAGAACGAAGATCATCCATTTCATGACGCTGAAAAAAAAAGTTATAAAAATTAAGACAGTTTTCAATCAAAACTTCTCAAATTGTTCATATCGATGAATAAGGATAAGGTAATTGCAAAGTTGGATAAGTCAAGTTTTGATGATTGACTTGAGTGAGTGATTCTGTTCATGACGGTATGTTCATTTAAAAATACTTTCAAAAGACTTCATATCGGATAAGGATTTTTTTATTTGTTTTAGGCACTTTATAACCATAAAACAGGTTTCTCAAGCTATAAAAACTATTTTCGTACTCAAAATATGCTGACAAATTTTCTGTTCTATCTAATTTTTAATCTAACCTGTCCAGCTCTACATGATCTTCATCTTAAGTTTACTATGCACTTACCAGTTTCACTGTAAGTCATGTCATTGCATGACCACTCCTTATTCATCCAGACAATAATATCGATAACTCATAGCACGGCTTTATAAAAAAAAATTAACTCTCACATAATGGAATTTTCTATTCTAACTAAGACTATTTACTTTTTTTTTCATTTTAAATGATCAATTATAGTTAAATCATTTTTATGTGAAAATAGACAACTGAAAAGAAGGATAAGAACTACGAAATATTGTCGTTATTGAAATGTGTGATTTATTGATTATATTAACATAGAATTATTAGATGAAATTAGCATGAAAAAGAATTAATACTGATGTTATAGATGAAGAAATAAATAAATAAATAATATTTAATATAATAAAAACAAGATTTCTTTAATATTACTTTTAATTTGAATAAATTATTCTGTTTTCTCTGTAGACTTTATTTTACATATTCTCTATATACAAGAAATCTAACTAGGGAACTATTTAATGGGATTTATCACTTGTGAAAGTATACTTTAAGTATATAGAGAAAACATCAAAACAAGAATGAATCTAATAGGGCTCTCGATTAGGTAGATTTCCACTATTTCCCTCATAATGTCTACCTTCTGTCAATTTTTCACGGTAATTTTGCACTGAAACGGCAGACAATGTCGTTTGCGAGATGAATAGAATTGGGAAGAAAGACAGTCTGGCGATAGATCGCATGTTATGCAAGGAATCGGGTCACCTTAAGTTCCATTCTACCCCTATCTTCCGATCATCACTTATAGCACTCCGAGAATGAAAGTACTTTCCGAAGAATTTTTAATCTTACTCACTACTACAAAATAGCGACAACCCACTCCGTTTAGGTCTATAGTGTATTGTGATCGATATATTGGATAATTAGCAAATCTTATATGTGGAGCTATGACGTTACAAAAAAAAATCATATTTTCTTCGAATTTCAACATGAAACTTAATACAAATGAAGGCTTTAATTAAAGTAACTTCTATAAGAGGTTCCTGAATTTTAAAACATTGTGTGTGAAAAATATTAACTGTAAAATATGTCATTGCGTTTGAATAGATAACATATAATATACAGGTATTTTGAAAAGTTAGTTTATCACACAGACAATGTCTGAAAATTGTTATATCAGGTACCCTAGTTGAGACCTTCATTTGTACGATGTTTCACGCCGAAATTTGAAATATTTGATTTTTTTTTGTGAAATCACAGATCTATACATAACATTTATTAATCTTACTAAATTTATTTTTGTCTCTACGTTCTCTCTCTATATGCAAAATGTAAATTCAAAAGCAATTTCGTGTGGTTTTTTCGTAAGCTGGTCAAAGTACCACAGTGATATGTTCGATCGAAGTAATTCGAAAAATATCTGTATTCGTTATCAGTAGAAAAGCATCAATTTAACTTATGTTAAATCTATGGATTATGCTAATAATATATGATGACTGTCAATACTCACCTTCTGATTTGATCCATATTTTGCTGGTTGTTGCGATGTTGATTCTAAAGAAAACAACAAGAATAAATCGATTCAATAATCATGAAATAAACTATACCATAAGTATAAGATCTTTCTTTTAAATTGTTTGTTGATGATGAAGAATTTTGTTGTTGTCGACTACTGTTGATCCGTTGTTGTTGATGACGTCGAGTGTCACGTTTATCCATGATATCGTCGATGGTTGTCTCAATCGATGTTGATGTGACACTTCTTTGTTGTTGATAATCATGACTGCAAAATGGATGAACACATAATGGTTTGTGTAAAGTCCATTGTATTTTTTTTTTATATTTTCATTCACACATCGCCGTTTATGTGAGAATATATAAAGTTTTTTTTTTTTTTAATACGGTCTACCTTTGCTGTTTGTCTTCTTTATTTGGATTGATTTTTGATGACATTGGTTTATTGTTTGTTATTGTTGAGTCGTCATCATTCGTTATTTGACTTCCATTTGTACCATTATCATCATGATCGTTGTTGTGTTTAGTTCGATTTTTACTTAAAGTTAAACGTAAATCATGTGAAGATCCTTTATTTGTCGATGTTTTATCAATAGGTCCACTTTGAAATTCAACTTTACGACATGAATTGGATGAAGTTACTTTTATATCAGCATCACCAATTGATTTTATTGATTCATTAGGTGCTAAAATTTTTGAAATAGTTGGTTTTTTTGAAGAATTATTTGTATTTATAGATGAAGATAATTGATTATTATCATGATCATCTGAATGAAGATCAATTGTTGAATTTTGTTGTGAAGTCAATATTGATGGATCAACAATAATTGGTGAAAAACGAGATTTTCCATTTTTCTTACGAATTAAAGATGGTTGTTCAGAATTATTTTTATTCGATAAATTTACTTTTGATGTATCAATAGTTGATGGAATCGATTTTACAATAGATTCTTCTTCTGATACCTTCAAAGATAAAAAAGAAAAAATAAGTTTTTATTATATTTCATTTCAAACAAATTTGTGTCACATATTCAAAAACAAAAACCGGAAATCGGTTAGACAAATTTAACTGTCGAATCTTGAAAAATTAATCATAATGAAAAGAATTAGAACAAAAAGAAAAAATAGAATCAAAGATAAGTATACAGAATAAAAACAACATTATACACTATCATTCTATTTCATCGACAGAGTTGTTTTTCTCCTTTTATCGACAAATTATGACACAATTAATTGACATATGTAATGGATATTAATTTTTATTCGATAAGTAATAAAACTTCAGACAAATAATAAAGTAGAAGATTGTCATCATCACCTCATTAATTCATATGTTACTATAACAAATTTGAATGTGTACGTCGTTCTCGAAGAATTAATAAAAAATGAATCATAGTTTTCCTCTAGCAACAAATTTTATCAATCGTTATACAAATGATTTATTGACATTGAATAATTATTTGACAAAGATTAGAAAAATAATAGGAAAAAAATTCCGGTTGATTCCATTTTTTTAGTCATATCCAGATCAAGAAATAGGAGTCGTTTCCGATCAAAAAACTCAGGAAAATGATAGATACTTGAAAGTAAGAATTCCATGGTCGACTTTATCAAGTGACGACTAAAACTAGAAAAATCCGTTCGTTGGATTCTTGCTTCCAAATTTCTACCGTTTGCATAAGTTTTTCGGTCGGAAGCGGCATCTTTACAGCGAGAAACTTCCGTAAATTCACGGATTCAGGAGTTGGAATCATTGACCTGGGTACTCAAAGCATATCTTGATCAATTGTTTATATCGTCATGTTTTTCTTTGTTTTACTATATTTGATCTTTTTTTTTTTGTTAAATGCTATTTATCATAATTACGGGTTAGTTTTAATAAACAAGTATTAATTATTAGGATTCCTTATTGATCACACTATAACTTGTCGACAAAACGAAGCAGAAACATTTCTGTTGATCACGTCGGACAGACGTTTTGTCGTCGAAACGAGACTGAACCCATTACAGAATTGAGACTGATGTTAAATAGACAAAAAACAATAAACGAGGTTGCTTACACTGATCAGTCAGTTGTATAAATTCTGTGACTAAAATATTAGTCTACCGAAATAATTAAAAGCAAATACGAAAATCTCAAACCATTTCTTCCTTTCATATTTATAATTTTTTTGAATATGTGATAATATTGATTGCAATAATAAAGAAATTAAGCAACATACGTCTTTCATATCTTGATCAATAATTATATCTGTTCCTTGTTGAGATTTTTCTTCAATAATTGTTGATTTAATTACAACAAGAGGTTCACTATTAACTGAAGTCATACTTGTTGTATCATTTAATTTTTCATTAAAACGTTTTTCACGTTCAGCAAGTTCACGTTCACGTAATTTTATTTCTCTTTCACGATAATTAAGTTCAATTTTTTGTAATTCAATTTGTTTTTGTATAAGAATTAAAATTTCTCTATTTTAGATTTGATATTTTAAATATTCTAAAAAAGAATTTTTTTTTTATATCATTTTTTACTTTGAACAAGCTTCAATTTGAGGATTACTACATGGCTCGGCTTGCATCTTTTTATATTTACTAATAAGATCAATTGTTTGTACAAAATCATTTGTAGGACGAATTGATGTTGTTAAAATTGAATTTGTATTCGTAGTTGAAATAGATGATTTAGCAAAAAGAGAAAGTTCGCATTCTTGAGGTATATTACTCATTTCGAGAAGACTTTCATTCGGTTTTGGTTCAAGAACAGGAACAGATGGAGTTGAATGAAGTTTATTACTAAATATGAAAAAACATTTTCTTTTAGATAAATTCATAATAAAACAATTTACTTTGTTGTTACAGACGATGACTCATGTGTTACTGTACTATTGGACTGTATGAACGATTAATCTAAATAAATAAAGTAATAAAAAAAACAAAGATTAACTTACACGAATATCATGTGGTTTTGTTAATTCATCTTCGGATACAAAACTTAAATCGGTCGTTTCTTGATTGAGAGTTATTTGTTTCGATAATGTTTGTTCATCGGTTGATGAAATTGATTTAAGTACATCATTAATAGTACGTTCTTTTGATGTTTCACGACGAGAACGATGTGTTGGTGGACGTCGTTCATATGGTGATCGAGACTTAGAATGTGATCGTTTTATAGCAGTAACTGGTCGATGATGTCGTGTTGATGATTGTGTTGGTGGTGGCGATGGTGACGGCGATGAAACTCGATGATATCTTTGAGGCTGATAATGATGATGATGAGAACGTGATGATAATGATACTGATGAAGCAGATCGAGGACTTGAATGACGTTTACGAGTAGCTGATGGTGGAGAATGACGACTTGATCGATGAACTAAACTTTCATTTGAACGTTTTGATGTCGGATCTCGTCGTGAACTACTTGATCCTCTTCAATAAAAAAAGAAGGAAATAATTTCTCTCTTCTTTATATTAATCTTTAAATCAAACCTTTGTCGTTCACGTTCTTTATTAACTACTTCATTTTCTAATGCAAGATCATTTGTATTAACCATACAATCAATTGCATCAACGTTACTTGTAGTACGAGATGATTGTCGATTTGTATTGTCCATTGTTTTAATTTTCAGTAAACATCCAATATAATCAATAACCAAAAAAAAACTCAAAATTTTTATCTAAAACAAAATCAAACACAAAACAACAAAAAAAAAACAAAATTAATTTTTTTTTGTTGTTGGTTCATTTTCAAGTTCCCATAATGTTATTTTATGTTCTTTAATTGCTTCCTATTTAAATAGAAAAAAAACAAAATGAGAATAAAAAACAATATATTATTCTAATCATTATTACTTTAATACAAGCTTGATATTTTTTGAAAAGATTTGTACACATATCAGCTGTTGTATCACCTTTTAAATAATGTTCACTAAACCATGAATTAAAACATGCATCATATTCATCTTTTAATGTTTGACACGCTGGACTTATGCTACTCATCTAAATTATAATCAAAAATAAAACATATAAATTAATTTATGATGTCATTATTTTATTAATGACATCTAGAACAAAAATGAAATATGAAATGAATAGTGTGATGATGAACTATTGAAAAATAAAATTGGACATGGATCTTAATCAATAGACATTATCAAACAAAGATGTCGTTAGAATACAACAAATACTTTGTCTTGCTCTTAATCAATACTTTCAACAAAGAAATTTCTGATCATTAATTTATTTTTGGTGTGTTGTCAGACCTTGGATGTTTCAAATCTTGTTAGCAGATTCCACTGATTCATGGTTTCGAAGTGGTAAGTCCCATGAGATAATTAAAACATGAACAAATTTCTGAATTTAGTTTACAATCAAATGAGACACTTCTGTGAGGAGCAAGCCTCTGTAAACATACACTTTAGATTGAAAACGTTTTGCTTGTGCTGCTCTCTATAATTTTTACGCACATGGTTGTGAGTAAAATGACAAGAATATGTCGAATAAACATATTATATTTATGTTTCTTTTTCAGTTTTTAACTATATCAAGGAAAAATAATCAGGATGTATTCTTTGCTTAAGATATCATATAGATATCGCTGGTGGCAAGTGCAGCTGCTAATAGTTGCAACAAAAAAACAAACCATCTTTTAATTCTTTTGACATTTTACAATTGCTGTCTTATCTCAAAATACTCGAAATGGTTACATAGCTGGAATTTGTTGTGATTATCAATAATTCTATTATTATTTTATGAAAGAAAACAAATGTTGAACAATGAACATTCGTTTAATTCTTACCATATTGACAACTGGTTTTTTCACATAGTCAAAAAATGTTTAATGTAGTCTTTAGATTATGTAAGAATCGTTTTTTAAAGATGGATTTAATATTGCAGACTCGAGTTTTCATGTAAAGAATTTCTAGAACTAAAAGAAGAAAAGACTAATAACTTTTAATTCATCATGACAGATTTTCTCAGAAAACAAAAATTCGATATGACAATAATAACATTTGTAGAAAATTAAGCAATAAATAGGAAGTGTATATATCTTCATCATGTAAATTCTGAATAAAAGTTCATCAAAAGGAGAAGATTATTAAATTTTTCTATAGAACATCCAGCTATTTTTCTCAGTTGTTAATAGAACAAAATATTATTGATTTTGTCATAGTTTTTTTTTGTTAGAAACTTTAAGTTAACGATTCATTAATCATTCTCAACGCTCATATGCTTCTTAAATGAAACTGACAACATAAACAGGATGTTACAAATATTCGTGCGAAAAGTTTACACGAATAACTATTATAGTAAAACCTCTCTTAAATGAATATCGTCAAGATTTTTGAAAAATGTTCATTGTTGAAAGGTTTTCATCTATGGAAGATCTCATTTATTTTACTGCAAAATGAAGAAAAAAAAACATTTTAGAATATAAACTACTTTACTAGTTTTGAAGTAATCAGAGACTATGCTTTATGTTTTTCATCATCGTGCATTTTGATACTTATGATGAATCGAAAAAATTTTCAACGAAATACAAAACTTTGCTTTGTTTGACAAAGTTCTATATTATTGTTTTGGTTTCAATATATGTGAAATTGATAAACATTACTGTACAATTTATTCAAATATATATTCATCAAGTTTTATTACATTAAAACTTTTGAATTTTCGTTTAATACTTTGGATGAGATTTGATTGATAATCATTTAAATATTTTCTTTCTTTTTCGTTTTAAAAAAATTGGATATAGAATTAAGGCATATATTCGATTTTTCAGTTAATTCACATTGTGATAAATCATTAATTAATTAATTGAATTTTCTCATTTAATGTATGATGATATTTTGTTGTCATTGCCTTGTGTGAAATGTACAGTTATAACAAACAATGAACAGTAGTTTTAATGCATTTGCCAGAAACAATGAACAGTGGAGAGGGAAAAAATGAACACTTATGTTCATTTAAAATAAGTTATAATAGCAGTGAAGACTGTAAAAACAATGTTCAAGTTTATAGTAAAAAGATGTTCACTTATGAAAGATGATCACTAATAGAAGTTTCACTATAAATACATACTGTAATATCAGATTGGAACATAAGTTCTGCACGTTTAGATCAGTAGAAATCTATCTTCAATATAAAACTACATTTTAAAGAAAGTAATTATATATTCTGATAGCGGTCGGAATTCTCTACCATCCTGTGTATTTAAGTCTTGACTTGTATTTATTTGCTGAAAAATATTTCGAGTACAGTGAAGACACCCTCACCGCATTGACAATATTAGAAGTACATCTCAGCAGAGAAGTTCAAGTCAAAATCTGAATATACAGAGTGATAGAGCATTTCAAGGGCTCTCAGAATATATAATTACTTTTCTAAAAAAAGGTCATTCTATAGAAAAAAATTTAAAAAACATATAAAAAAGGAACAAAAGAATGGAGGTTGTGGGAATCTATAGATAAGGGTATCTTCATTGTACTCGAAATATTTTTTAGGAAATACATACAAGTCAAGACTTAAATACATAGGATGATAGAGAATTCCGAGTGCTATCAGAATATATAATTACTTTCTTTAAAATATAGTTTTTGTACTGGAGGTATAATTCTACTAATTCAAACGTGTAGAACTCATGTTCCAATCTGATAGTACTTGACGATAATCTCTACTCCACAAAATGATGCCAGAATGGAGAGTTTTGATTAATCCTCTACAAAATGGCAGAATTCTGAAGGAACGCCATTTTTAAGCCGAAAAGGTGAACATAGGAAAAATAACGATTTGTCTTGCGATATACTTTATAAAAAACCTTTACTACACCTCAACAGTTTGCAAAAAAAATTTACCGCTTTGTAGAGAATTATTTTTTTTTTTGTATTGTCCAATATATTCGATAAAATTTTGTGGCATATTTGAAACAAGCTCCATATGAGGTTTCTTTTCTCCGAAAATTTTTTTTTGAGTCTTTTCGAGATTCACTTATAGCTCAATAGTCAAAAGTTACAGAAAAATTTTAAGCATAAATTCTGAAAGAACGCATGATTCTAATTCTAATACCGTACTCATTCTTTCTCAATGCATTTCAATAGGCGAAAAATAGTCAAACATTTTCTCTAGAAACTTTCCGGTGCATCCTTTATTGTATTATATAAAAGTTATCAAATCATTTGGATTGTCTAAAAAATATTGACGTGAACTTTTGATACACTTTGTACCATATTCTTTCCAATCATAATACTTTTACATTTGCAATAAAATTTTTTCACATGTCTAAATGTAAACATTTTAAATAACAAATAAGACATTCATTTATTTTTCTATCATTTTCAAGATTATACGCTTGAATAATAACTATATTTATCTCATCATTGAAAAATAAACATACAAACAGACAAAAAACAAACATCTAGTTTATATGCGGGAATAAGCATAACTTTTGACTTGTTTTTTTTTTGGAAGACAATTAATCTTTAGGTGATGATGGATATAAAAATGAACTACTATTTGGACGATACCATACATAATAAGTAATATACCAAAAAAATACTGCAACACTAGCAGCTATTATTTTATGTAAAGTATGATGAAAATATAAAGCTGTTGATAAAATCATAAATTCCCAAAGAATAGTTAATGCTGCTAATAGAACATAATTTATTTGAATAATTTTCGAAACTATATTAAGATATTCATGATTTATATTTGATAATGTATCACCACTCTCATGTACTACTTTATTTGCTTGATCAACTTTGTTTGTACCTTTATCATAAGATTTAACTTCTTCATTAATTATTAATATAGCATAAAGAAGTAAAAATACATGTCCACTAAAATCATATCCTTCTTGCCATTCATAACCACCACTAACACAAACTTTTCTTGAAACTCCTCGCATAGTTTCATGTTTACACAGGCCTGTATGTGCTTCAACATTAACAAATAAGTATGTAATTATAAACCAAACACCAGTTGCAATAAGTAAACGAACTAAATGACGTGTTATTATTTGATAATGACTACATGTTGTTATATAAGTTAAATAAATAAATGGAATTAATAAACCCATTGTCCATCCCCAACCAAGTTTAGCAAAATATGTATTAAATATATTTGTTTTTAATGAAAAATATGACGTTGGTGCTAAACCTAATGATTTTAACATGGAACCAATTATGATAATAGTAAACGAAACAAGTAATTTAAATATTGGTGGTCCAAATATAATACGACGACAAAAAAATAAAACAAGATCACGAATTATATGACATACGTCACATAATATTGTTGTTGTAGATTCACCATCTTTAGAATTTTCTGTCGATGGTTGTTTTGATTGAGTCGGTGATGGACGTCGATATTTTGTAGTATCATTATTTGATTCTTCAGTCGACATGATTATGTTTAGTGTGTAACGAAATGTTTATGAAAATCTAAAGTTTGTAATAAAATATATCAAAGAATTCTTTTAAAAGAATAATAATGATAAACAATTACACAGCAAATCCATGTTTTACCCATGTTTGCTTATGAATGGATTACAATACTCGTGTTCTCTTTTTGCTTAATATATTCACTATTGGTTATTGTCGATTTAACAAAATATATTAATAATAATTATTAATATTATTTGAAATGACAGCAAATATTTCATCATCAACAAATACAAATCGATCAACAAATTTATCAATATCAAATGGTCATTTATCAAATATTTCTAATGATAATAATACTACTACTAATAATAATGAAGAAGATCAATTAAATCGTATTAATTTACAAGCATTACAAAATCGTGATCCATATATATCTAAAATAGTTGATCAAGCACAACGTGTTTGTGTTTATAAATTTATTGCTGAAAAACGTGAATGGGTATAAAAAATGGAAAGTTTTTTTTAATAATTATTTATTTTATATTTATTTTTTAGGAACGTAAAGATCTCGAAGGAACATTATTTGTTTATGAAAGGTATATAAACAAAAATTTTATTGAATTTATTCAATAGTTTATATCTAATTATTATTTTTTGTAAAATTTATTTAGAATATGCAAACCCTATCATGGTTTTGTTATATTAAGTACAGTTTCACGTGAAACATTTGTACAAATAATAAAACCATCTATGGAATTTAAACATACACCTACTTATGAAGCATTTCTTCAATATAAAGTTGATGTTGGAGGTAAAAATAATTTTTTATTTAATTATATATTTGTTTTTTTTATTCGTTTAGATATTTATGGAATATGGTTTATTTCAAAAAATGATTGTCCTCGTGTAACCGAATGTTTAAAATGGTAAGATAATTGCAATTCGAAATTTGAGCAACAGTTTTTTTTTTATCATACTTCGATGAAGTTCGTCGACTTACCTACAGAAATGGTGTTTTTATAGTAATAATTAGGAAAATTAGGTTAAAAAAAATCAGAAAAAACTATAAAACTTGAAATGCATCAAGTCTTCATAGCCTTAATATTTATTCAAACTCTTTTTGTAATTTTACTTATCATATAATTGGAAAAAACATTTTATATTCTTTTCCAAAACTATTGTTTGATTGTTGAGAAAATTGCTTTCTTTCAATATGATAACAAAACAGGCTGCAAACAAATACGGATTTGTATTCTTAGATTTTGATTATCAGAATTTTAGTTGCGAAGGGAACTCATATCATATTCAGAATCGGCACAAAAATTTGCATCAACTAGTATATTCAAAACTAATTTTCATCAAATTTCGTTTCTTACCAAAACTAGATATGGGACAACTTCTTCTGTCCTGTCCTGCTGCCTTACTCCATCCTGGTGAACTCAACAGAATAGGAAAGTACAATAAGAATCCTTATTTTGAGTTTCGATCATCAAAGTACATGCTAGTTTATAAGTTATCTAATAGTTAATTTATTTCATATCCTTTTCAAGTACAACAATTAAAGTTGTCAATGATGACTAATATGATAAATATAAGAAAATATAGAAACATCTTGATTTATTATTTTAATCGTACGTTTATCATAAGAGCGCAAATATAAAAAACACGATGAATTCGTGATGTTTTATCATCATTATCTTAACATATATTGGATATTATTAATAAAAAAAAATAGAATAATGAAAAACTACTTGATAACAAAAACAATACAAAGAAAAAGAAAATATGCAAAACAGACATAGACATAGGACAAGGTTTTCTGTTTTGTCCTGTGCTTTCTCTGAAATCGAAATTAGTTTTAAGCGTTGAGTATATTATTCGATACAGATTTTTATGCTGATATCTGAATATGATATTCGTTTCTTTTGGAACTGAAGTTATGACGGTCAAAATCTTAGAATACAAACTCATATTTATGAACTGTTTTTTTTTCTAACTACATGACGAATAAAATTTAAAAAAATATTGAGACTATCGAGACTTGATGTATTTGACGTATTTCAATTTTCATAGCTTTTTTTTGATTTTTTTAAACTAGTTTTCTTAAGTTTCATGACAAAAACGTCATTTGAATATGTCAACAACAACAACAACAACAACATGTTTATCGGTAACTCGACGAGATTCATCGAACCATGACGAAAAAAAATATTTTGCTCAAATTACGAATAGTCTTCATCTTAAATCAATAAATATTAATTTTAAATTAAAAAACATTCATTATGAAATTTTAGTTTAACAGAAAAAGCAAAAGAATGTGAACAATTAAAAACAACTGAAAATGTTCTGTCTACAACATCAAAAAAATCAAATGATATTATTTCATTATTAAATAATGCTCATGATAAATTTCAAGACTCTGTAAATTAAAAAGAAGATCATTCTATTTGTGTTTTTTTTTTTTGATCTTCCTAATTGTATTCTTTTTTTCTTAATTTAGAAACGTAAACAGGAAACAAATAACGGTGAAACATCAACACCAATGCCAGCTGTACTTTTACGTTTATTTTCTACTCAAGAAACATCCACACAATCAAATATAAATAATGATGAACGTGGAGAAGAATTAAAAAAAACATTAGGCATTTCAGGCAAACCAGCATTAAGTGTAACAGAACTTGAAAAACAATTACTTCAATCAACATCTTCTCAAGAGACAACAAAAACTGATCTTAATAGTGATAATCTTGAAAAACCTGTGCCGATTTCAAGAAAAGTATTTGAAATATGACTTTTTATGCTTATGTCATTTTTTTTTTAAATTCAGACTCAAATACAAACTTCATCTCAATCAATATCACCTCGTACAGTGACAAATTTACATTCCACTACTCTTAATTCGAAACCCTTGAATGGAGTAAATTATTTATTGAATAAAATACATATGCATATATTATATATGAGTTTATGATTGTAGCTTGAGTCTACATCAACAAACACTAATCGTTTAATGACACCAGCAGATTTTCAAACATTAAGTTTTACAGAATCACCAGGTAACTTGCTATTTAAGCATAATAGTTAAATTTTTAATCGTAGTTCTTCATTCAAGAATGTCTTAGAAAGATAATTGTTTTTTTTTCAAAAACTTCTAAACCATTTCCATCATACTTATTTGAAATCTGTTTATTAGATTATTAAAAGCAAATTCAGACAGCATATTTTGTTTATGTAATTAAATACGTAGAGAACGAAGTCTATAACAGTTTCGTCTAGATTATTCAGTTACCGATGATTTTAATTGGTGATGTTGATCAGTTGTTTGATTCAATTTCCATAAATCATTGAGTGTATGTTGTTGCATATTTATACAAAATCAGTATAGTAGATGAAAGTTTTTGAATCTAGATCTGATCTATTGAAAATTTTTCAGATTTGGATCACACTCTAAACATTTTCATCGAAAAGATTTTCTTTTCAAATCTGATTGTTCCGCCGAAGATACGAGACTCTTTTGTTTTTTGATTATTTCTATTCGATGACGAGCATAGCCTAATATTTCTTAGGCGACTTTGCCGATGTTCTTCTAATAATCAAGTTATAATTGATTGATAGTTTTAGAGTAGAGCCCGTTGCTCACGATAGAAGGTCCACAATCATAACTCGTCAATTGAATTAATATGTTGCTCATAGGTAGGTCTCGTGGATGTTTTAATGCCCTGAAAATTTCAGCCTAAAAGGGTATATTTTTCTTGAAATCTTGAGTATCAACAAACAACCATGTGTCACAAGGAAAGCTACGAAGACCAAATGTTTTCAACATTCGATATCTTGAGAATAATGTATCCTTTTAGGCTAACAATGTTTCAGAACATTCTAATGTCCATGAGATCTATCTATAGGCAAAACTACAGATTGAAACTCCGTAATTCGACGGTTTTCATCAATACCTTGTTAGAGATGAAAACTTTAGTATAATTATATTAACTTGAAAGAACTCTTATAGACTTCTACTAATCTCGTCATGATTTATTTAAGGATAAAATATCAGTTCCATTGGTGAATCACACTTGAAGACCTTCCTTCGTCAGTCTATGATCCGAATCCAATCGAGTCCATGACTTACTCGATGGACTCTAATTAACGGTGACAATTTCCTATGTATAGAGCCATCTGGATAACCTCTACTCATCTATTTGCTCGTGTATTTTTATATAATCACTCTTCAACACATCTATACATGAAATTTTTAATTGAATGGTATTATATAGAACGTAGTTCTATAATACTGCTTTTTGAAGTAATTAATGGGATTATTGGTTGTATTTGTATAGAATATGTACGATCACCTCTATCTTAATTAGTCACGGAATAGAAACAATCGATAAATGTACAAATGAAACACAATTTCAAAGCTTAGACAATGTTTTCTTTTTAATAACATTATTTTTGAGCGAAAAACTATGAATGGAGTTTTCAACATTACAGGTTTATATTTGCATTGATTTATTGATGGTTGTTTTTTTTTCAGTTGGTGCCGCTCCGACACAAATTGAGCCGTCATCGTCATCAGCATCATCTCATCATTGTCAACATCAACAATCCTCATCAACTAATCATTTTTCAAAAGATTATCTTCGACAATTGTTAGTTGATATGCTTCAAGTAAGATTTTCTATTTATTTATAAAATTAATTTAATTAGTTTGATTTTTTTTTAAAGAATGACGAAGGACTTGTAACCGGTTTATATAATGCTTATATTGAAAAACAAACTATTTTACGCCGTATTTATTCATAAATTCTATTCTCATCTTATGTTGTCTAGTCGTTAATTATTATCTGAACTAAAATCGATGTATTATATAGTCAAGGATAATAACACTTCCGAAAGTGATTAATGATTTTTGCTAAATTCATTGAAGATTTGTTTTTTTTCGCTATTCTATATCATATACAAAAGAAAAATAATTTGTTTATTGTATGTAGTTTTCTTTTGTCTATTTCATATACAAAACGGATCGTTCCTTTTTTCTCTCGGTTTTTTTGTTAAAATAAAAATATACAAATTCAAAAAAAAAAAGAATTTAGTTGTAATTTAACATTTGTACGTGTTACATTACAGATGCCAGAATGATATCGAAAGAATTTGACGAAAAGCTTTGTGATATTCAAGTTCAATTCTAAAGGAATCAATTTGATGTTTACTAGAAAGTTGTATATACATACATAACGAGAATAAGCTGAACTAAGAGTGTCACTTATATCTTTTGTATGATAAATATGTTTAAAAGTATTTTGACTCAAACGTCAAAGGAGTAAAATAAATATTTAAACGATTCATTGTTTTTACTGCAATATCAGTGTTTGTTTTTTTATTTTGTATAGTTTCAAGTTATTTATTAACAAAACACTATTGTAAAACTTTGTGCAACGCATGTTGATAGTCTAGAATAAAGAACTAGACAAATAAAAAACAAAATTTTCTCTAACTTGTAAGTAGGGTCGTCAAACTTACTGTTATTTGCACCTACACGTACCAAGCAAACAATAGTGGGAATATGACACTACTGTTAGTAAGGTGTACTAAACACGCTATCATACAGAAATCAGCTGATACACTTAGTTAGTGATACATCACGAATAAAAATTTCCTTTTTAACATCATGCACAATTCTATTTATAAAAACTAGAAAAAAATATTTCAATTAATATCTATTGAAACAATTATCTAAAACGTAATTGATCTTTAGCTGTGAGATCATACCAACCTCAAGAACTGCTTTATTTAAACCTATATAATCTTGTACATATTCAAAATCAGAATTAATTTCATTGTCTTCTCCCATTGTAGGATACATCTTAAATTGAGAAATTCTGACAAGACTCGATCAAGATCTTGCTTTAATCCTTTGAGTCTCGGCTCTTTTTGCGAAAACCCAGATTTTTATACGAAATCTTTAAATACGATGTCGATGAAACAGTTAATATTAATATGCAACTAAAATCAATTGAAAAAAAATTCAGATGGTCAAATATTTAAACTAAGATCATTTGTTATTGAAAAAAAGATTTGTAAAAGAAAAAAAAATACAATTATTAATAATGAATATTGCTCTGTCTTTTTTTTAGCCAGTTATTGAATCAAGTAAACAGATTGTAGAGATTAAAAATAATGAATATAAAAATATAGATTCATCTCAAATTATTAATACAAAGAAAAAATCAAATAATCCTTTGTGAAAAATGTTTAATCCATCTCGACATCATCAACGTACTACTGAATCTCTGAAAGAATCTTCTACACAAACTCCTTTATCTTTTGTTAACAAAAAAACATCTTCAGTTAAATTTCTTCATCAAAAAAATATTATTATTGATACAAATATTGAACAAAACATCAAAAACAGAAACTACACAAACGACAATACGTGTTACATCTGTTCGTCGATTTAACAAACTTTTAAAACAATATACACATGCTGCTCAACATATAAAATAATGTAAACAATGACAATTAGGATTAGATTGAGTTGAAGAAAACTTCTTGAAGTATTAATATTGAAAATCGATGAAAATATTAATCGAATATCATTATATTGGATACATTTAAAATAATTATCATTAGATCAATTTTAATCCAAAACTAATCGATTTCAATTATATGATTATTTATTAAAAACTTGTTGTTTACCATCAGATTCTCAAAAACAAATTAAATCATATTTCGAACAAAATTATGAAATTAAAGCAGCACTTCAAGTTCTATCAACAACATTAGTTATTGTTAAAGATAAACAATCTTTATCAACAATAAGTCAGTTATTTGATCGTGAAGAATAAATAACAATTCTTTCAGTACGACATGATTTTGAAGAGTTACTTTCACTGTATTCTAGAGGAATCTTATTTATTACTGAACATATTAATGTATATCAATCTCGTTTTACTGCATGGATAAATCTAAATACATTCAATTTAGATTTAATAACTAATGAATGGACACAAATTGCCGAACATGATTATCCATCATTAGTAGAAAGAATTTTCAATGATTTCATAACAAAAAACTCCTCAAATAGAAAAAAATTCCCGTACAAATGCTTAAAAATATGACAAAATATTTGTTAAATATGGCAAAGTTGTATCAGGTCGAAGGACTAGTGTTTTGTATAAATGTTCTATTGTGTTATTATTATAAACAATAGATCATTTATTTATTTACCTTTTGATAAAGATCAGCTTCAAATTTTTCTTTTATATCAACTATTTGTTTAACCGTCTGAATTAAAAAAAAAGACTAATAAAATAAATATATTTATTTATTTAATTTTATTAATTTCAGATCAAACAAAAAGTTAATATACTTAATTAAATTGAAATCAATTATTTATATTTTATAGATGAATAGGTTATAGTTAAATCTAGTTGTCGACATGTTATGGAGGCAAATAATGTTACAGGAAAAGGTTATCGAATAACGTGAATTTGTATTAGTGCTGGTTGTGTTGTTCTTAGTTGTTCTTTGGTTCTTTATTCCGAAAAATATATGATGAACTCGTAGTGTATAGGTGAGCCAGATGACGTTCATTATAGAATTACAACTAAAATAAGTTTCTTTGGAAATAACTGTTCTTCCAGTCTTGAAACATAATCTTAACGAAAAAGTAGTATACATAGGTATTTATTAAATCAGACTTTCTTCTATTAAAAGCTATTTGAATATATTAATTTAAAACAGTTTCTTAATTTCTATTTTTTATGCCAACAACATTGAAACAACAAATAAAATAAAAATGAAAGTTTCTTGTACTTAACAACGATCGAATAACATATGAAAACCAACTAATACTGCTCATATTTTGTATATAGATAGTCTTTGAGCTGTACTACAACTTTTGTAACAGTATCAACTGTGACTAGCACGAACATCTTTTGTTTCGAACATTCATCAAAATTTCATGTATTTTACATTAGATGACCAAATTAGGAACCCAAAATAGCTCGAGTAATCGATTTAAGATCAGTTGCCTTATTCGATCACAAATATTATTCGAATGTAATTAGACAAAATGTAATGAAGATGACACGTCAGAATTATAAAAAAATAAAGGAAAACATAAATTTTGAGTTAAGGATAATGCAAGTGTTTTTTTTCGGAGGGCTTTAAGATAATTTTTCTGTCAAAATAAGTTTTTTCCAAAAGTCCATTTGCAAGTTAGCTTGAATGATCTAATTAGGAAAAAAGAAGAATTGACAAAAATTATGGTAGTTATCTTTGTGACGGTTACGGCTCCTTAAGAGCTTATTAATTTCGAATGAAAAGTAGATGATAAGATAGAGCGATATTTTTACTCTATCCTGAAAACTAAAAATTAGTTCGAACAGACGTTATGTAGAGAAATTATAAATTCTTTTCTAAACAAATAAAAATTCGTGATCAAACTTGGGTTTGGAGAAGTACGACGATCGTGTGTAACACAATTCTGTGTAAGACAATTGTGTGCAGACAATTGTGTGTAAGGCAATTGCGTGAATGGACAATTGTGTGCAAAATGAATGTGTACGTATTATGTGTAAATAAATATTTTTGTCAGAAAAAGATAATGAACAAAAGAGAAGTAATCAAAATAACAAAACTAATTTAGGATGAACAAGTATAATATGAATCCATGAGCAAACGCTTTTAGCTTTTTGCATATTATCTTTTGTAAGACTTTTTAAAAACCATAAAATTTTGGATGCTGTCTGTTGAGGTTTGATTCTCTTTTGTTTTGGTGTGAGACTGGTTACTAGTTGAGAGATTTCACCGTCTACGTATGATTGTTCTTTTTGAAGATTCCTCGAAAATCATCAAAATTCAGGATGGCTGAGACTATGATATTGTTAAATCATCGGCACCGCTGCGACGGCGTTGTTTATGTAATCGAATTGATTCCTTAACAAATTGTGTAATTTCAAAAATCTGATTGGAAATGTTGAAATTGTTCATCTCTTATGGCTTCGAAGCTTACCCGAGCAGTAATTTTCACAATAATTGTAAAGCGGATTAAGATCTGGAATTCGTAGACTACAAATATCTTTAAATGGTGCATAGGTATCATTTTTATGCTCTTTTTTTCACTAGTATCAGTCAGTGCAAATTAAATAAATTGATGTATTCATAATTATCTGTTCTCATAATTGTCTTGTACACAATTTTTTATTCACATAATTGTCCTACACACAATTGTCTGTTCTCATAACTGTCTTACACACAATTGTCTGCACACAATTGTCTTACACACAACTGTCATAGACCCTGGATTTGGTACTCTATCAATTGCCTACAATATTATTCTACTGGTACATGATTCAATGAATATGATTATTTAACTTCATTGTTTCTTATAGAATGACACATTTAAAAATTCAAGAGAAACCTCTTCCATGTAATCATCCATCATTAGCTACTGTTTACAATATCTTTGGAATAGTATATTATTCCATCGAAGATTATTCAACTCTACTGTGGTACTATGAAAGAATATTTTATAATTTAGGAAAAGTCACTTCCATCTAATCGTCTATATTTCGTTACTACCAAAACTAATGTTAGTTTAACATATCAGTTAGTAAATGATGATTCGATTGCATTATTACTTTACGATAAGACATTTGATATGCAGTTAAAATTTTATCCATTTGATCATCTACAGATAGCTGTTATTCAGAATAATATTGATCAAGTAAGTCGACTGAGAAGAAACTATTTTGGTGCATTATTATAATATTGGGAAACACTTGTAATTTAACAGACATTTCTATTATCTAATCATCCATCGCTGATAATTACTTACAATAATATTGTTTTGTGCATCAATCAATGAAAAATGGCATAATGACTTTCTTCTACATACTACGGAAAGATGTTTAAAATGCAACATAAAGCTAATTCAGCAAAAAAAAATTAATTCAGATCTAGGTAGCTATTATTCTTTGAAATCTTGATGTTAGCATTAGATAATAAGTACTTGTATGAAGAAGTCATTAAATATGCTTAAACGAATTTTTGATATTGTGAATAATCTATCTAGACTTGAATATTCTCAAAAGAAAAGCAGAATTTAAACTTATCTTATTTATTTATTAAATAAAGAATCTTGTGAAGAGAATGTATCGATATGTTCTTCTATATCAATTCCAAATTATACTGTACTGCTATAATAAATATAATTTACTAGTTACAAGTAGAACTGTGCAGAGTAGAATATGATCAGAATGAAGAAAAACGTTCTAGGTCATGATCATAAATTCAAGAAGCTTATTCTATATATCTCTATTTACGATAGAACCAATGATAAAGATAAGCTTAATATTTCCTATCACAATTGTCACATGATAATATATTCAATACACATTTATGTGAGTATAGATTGCGTTTCTTCATAGAAAAAACTGTGAAAGGATAGGCACACATAAGAGGTCAAATTGATTTCCTAGTACTTTTCTTGACAAACTCTATTGAACCATATATCAATGAAAAGAGCATGCTGAGAACAACATTTTAGTACTAGTTTCATAAAGTTTTGATAGATTTTGAAACTTAAAAGCTACGAAAAAAGTAACGCATTTTTGGTTATTATTCTAATAATGTATCCTATCATGGTGGATTCAATTTGAGAATAAGCAGACAAGACAAAATACTATTAAAATTATGACTTTGATAGCTCTTTGATGTTGCTTTCAATCTCATATGTAAATCACTAATTGATTGTTTGATTTAGCAAAATATAGGCTGAATGTACTGGCAAACACTATTAGCATATTTACTGTGTGTATCATGCGTTTTTATCTTTCAGCAAATATTTTAATTTAAAAATTGAAATGATCAAAGTTTTGGCATCGTTCACATATAACTCTTCTAAAAAAGTCATAAAATCATATATTTTCCAAAGTCAAAAAAAAAAATTTCACGATTTGAAAAATTTCAAAATACACTATTCTCCAGACACAATATTATCTCCTTTTGATTAACAGTTACATGAGTTCGATTAGAAAACGTTCAATTTGAGTCAAAACTAATATAATATTCAAAATCAACACAAAAATTTTGAGTTGATCTATATGTGATTTCAGGAATTTCTAGAACCTGTTTTTTCCGTCGAAAAATTGACCTTTGGTCCTCCTCAAAAACAAGACGAAGGATGAACTTATTGAAAATTGCGCTTTCATTTTTTTACATATCTGCAATTTTTTCATCGAATAATTTTAAAACAACTTTCAAGATTTCTGTATAATCTCCAAATAGTGTTTTGATGCAATTGAATTTTTGTCTAGTATCTCAGGAGGACCAGAGGTCAATTTTTCAACGAAAAAAAAGGTTTCAGATATTCTTTAAATCATCTATAGATCAACTCAATTTTTTTATGCTGATTTTGAATATTATATTAGTTTTGAATCAAATTGAATGTTTTCTAATTGAATTTTTGTAAATATTAATCAAAAAAACATAACATTGCGCCTGGAAAATAGTGTATTTTGAAACTTTTCAAATGGCCGAATCTTGCTTGACTTTGAAAAATATATGGTTTTGATTTTTAGAAATTTGAACATATCTTTACTCTTTTCGTTGATATACAATTCAATTGACTTGGCCAAGAAAAGTACTAGCGGATCAATTTGACTTCTTATGTGCGCCCACCCTTTGTAAAGTACCTAACAATGATTATATAGACTTCTCAAACGAATTGTTAATTATACGAAGTCATAATAATATTTATTTTCTCAGATTACGTTTAAATATTTCTTTGAACAATTTTTTCTTTTGTTGAAATTTCGATTTTAAATAATCTTATGAAATAAAAATTTGTTAGTCATTTGTTGACACATTCTTTTTATGATGTTTAATATTGAAACCCTTGTAAAATTTTATTAATTTCTATGAAGAATATTGTCTTAAAGAAGTTCATTTATGTCATCTTATAGATTTCTATTTGTCCTTATGAAGAAATTCTTGTGCAAAACAATATATGAAGATTTCTTACAACATTTAATAAAGACATTATTAACAATTCTAAATATACGTATACATAAAAAAAATATATTGTGTAACAATATTAAGCTGAATTTTCTGTTACAAAGATGTTGTAAGACGTCGATCATTAGTAGTTTTAGTAGTAGTTAAAAATTTTCCATAATGTTTTCTAGAATGATTATTTTTATGATCCATATTATTAACAATTACATGAGAAAAATAAACACGATCTTGTGGTTCATATTCAGCATCTGAAGAGTCACTCTCTAATATATCATTTGATAATACTTGTCGTTTATTATCGATTATAATGTTTTTTTCTATATTTGAATAACATTTTTTTGGTTGTTGATTACCATTTGATTGTTTTGATATTCGTCGTTGTTCTTGTTGTTGATCATCATTTCTACAACGATGTGATAAACATGCAGGTTTCGAAAGAATATTTCCACAATTATTTCGAAAACTTCGATTTAAAAATGCATATATTATTGGATTAACAGCTGAATTTAAATAAGTAAATGAATTTGCAAGTATTTTAAAATAATATAAAAAAGCTGTTCTATGTTCAAAGAAATTTGCTGACATTATATATAATGTAAGAGGTAACCAACAAAGTGAAAATACAAGAGTAACAATCGCTACCATTTTTGTTAAAGCACGACGTCGTTTTGACCATTTAACATGATTAGATGTCTATTACCAAGAAAAAAAAAACAAGTCAAACTTATTAACAAAAACAAGAAATTTGACCTATACCGTTTTTGGTTTACATTTATTTTCTTTTGAATAAACATAATAAAGTAATCTAGTATAACAAATAAGAATAATTGTTAATGGAATAAAATAATAAAGTGTAACAGTATATATTCGAAATTGCTTTAGTACATGTTCATCTGTTAATAATACACATTGTTTATAAATATCATCTGTAACACCATAAAGAAAAAAGCATGGTGAAGCAAATGTGCATGAAACTATAAAACAAAAAAGCATGTAATTTTCTAACAATCAATGAAGAATAGATGTCGTTAAAAAAATGAATAATTATATGATAAAATAGCATCATATGTGTAAAAAAAAAGGAAATATTTTACTCACGCAACCATATAATTAAACTCAGTAAAAAGACTGTTTTTGGTTTTCGCCATTTTATATTTCCAAATGGATGTACAACAGAAATATACCGATCAATAGTCATTATAACTAATGTAAGCACAGTAACAAGAACACTGACAAATGTAATAAAATTGAGAAGTTTACAAAATGTTTCATTAAAATACCTAATAGCAAATAAATTAAAAAAAATAAGTTTCTTTTTTTTCCTCCCTTCAAAATTCATTAGTTTACCAATGATCAAGTGTATATTGAATGACTAGAAATGGCATACAAAATGCTAAGAAGACTATATCAGTAATAGCCACTAGAAGAATAAATTGAAGAATATATTATTTATTATACAATCAATTAGAATTAAATGTGTTATAACTTACAATTAACAATGAAACAATTTGTAACATTAGTCAATTTTTCAAATCGAATTGCTACAAATATAACAAGACTATTGCCTAATGAAATATACATAACAATAATAAATATATTGAATTTAAAAAAAGAAAAATTCTTTTTACCTATAATACCCGCAACAGCAATGAAAATCCAAGCACTAGCAAAAATAATTTGTGTATGGAATGATGGACCATCATTATTATCATACCAACTAATATTGCTATCATTATTAATCATAATTGTAAGATTGTTCATAGTAGAAGCATAAATATGATTATTAATTATCTGTTTAATATCAACCTTCACTGCACCATATTTATAAATTATATATTCTAGAAAAAAAGCAATATTGCATCTCTCAACATTTATTTCTTATATAAACCAAAAGAGCGATCTGTCAGCGCCCTATAATTCTTTTATTTGTCGGCTCTTAAGCGTTTTATTTTTGATAATAAATAATGTGTATTACTACTGTGAGTTACCATATTAATCTAACATGATGAACAGCATGATTTTATTTTGTAATTAACAAATAAGGATAACGACCTGTCTGGTATCTAATATAATATGAAATAGCGTGTCAAGACATTTTTTTTCTTAATAGATAGCAGCAACGTAAGTGAAATGGTGTAAAGAAAAAAAAGAAAAAGAAAAAGAAAAACAACCATCCAGAGAAAAAAAAGGTCTTATTACTTGAAGATACATACTGAAGATAGTTACCATTGAGAGTAGAATTCTTCTTTTTTGTCATACGTCAAAAACAAAATGAATTTAATTAGAAAAAAATCGGCTTTCTTATCTATTTTTTTATTTCCTTTTTTTTCCCCTATTCTTATTTTTTAACTAAGATCTTAAGAAAATCTTCCTGTAAAAAATAATCATGATCTTTCTCTTAAATCTTGTGATCGTATGATCATATACATGGATCTATCTAATATCAGCGAATAGAAATACTCAGGTCGTCACGAGCAAAAAAGATAGGAAAGAGAATGTAATCAAAATATACTCAAGCTAATGAATCAAACATGAAAATTTTGACGCATCATTTCAATAGACGCAATAAAGCTTGATAGATTTGGATTATGATAAGTCAAAAAGATAACATTTATCTTCTTTGACACATGCGGTATCGATTGATGATATTATAAATAAAACAAAAATCTTATTAAATACAAAGATTTCTAAGTCAAATTATAATTAAGTTTTTCTTCGTTTTTTATTATCATGATAATTGAAAGCATGCTG